CGTGGCTATGACATTGGAGAGGACAATTGTAGAACGCCTCCAAAGATTGAGAGATGTGTCGTACGGCAAGTAATTTGCCCAGGTATGCCGTCCATAACGGTCTCCAGACCCTCTTCTGACCAACTGAAGGTTGCTTCGTCATAGTAGGCACAGGTAGCATTCTCGTTATCCACAGCAAGCACAATCTCCATGGGAGTCTGCAAGTTCTTGACTTCTATCCGGTTGCCTTCTGCATCACGGAAGTTGAGGCTGACTGACTGCCCTCTGAGCGTGGAAGCCGCCGTGGCTAGCCGACGACCCAACCGGGCATCGTCACTGCCAATCTTGTCCGTGACATTCTCCGAAAGTGAGGTGATGCTGAGCAAGACTAAGCCCGAGCCCGCAGCAGCCGCGGCCTGCTGGAGGACAGTCCCCGGCACGGTGACGCTGGTCCCGTCCTCGCCGCCGACACTGACATTGCTCTCAGGTGCAACTGTGGTGGCTGACAAGGCCACAACCTTCAGAACTCCGGCATCAGTGGCCACAGACACTTCGGCAAGGACCCCGTCCGTGGCGTTGTTGTTCTCCAGCAAGGACGACAACAACTGCAGCGACTGACCAACTGCTGCTTCCCCGGCAGAGTCGAGCGCGTTCACAGCTGCCGCAGCCTCCTCCTTTCTCTGTTGCTCCAGCCGCGCAAAGGCCTGATCATCCAAAAGGGGCGGCTCGGTGGGGGTAACTGTGGACTCTGTAGCGCTGGTGGAAGAGAGCGTGGAGGATGAAGAAGTGGGTGTGGAGGTAGTTGAGCTTGTGGAAGAAATGCTTGTAGTCAATGACGAAGATTGTGAGGTGCTGGATGAGACTGTCGTGGTGGAGCTGCTGGTAGTGAAAGATGTTGTTGTTGTTGTTGATGTAGATGCAGTCGTCGTGGAGTTCGTTGTTGTCGAGGTGGATGTTGTCGAGCTAGTTGTCGTGGAGCTAGTTGTCGTGGAGCTACTCGTTGTGGAGCTAGTTGTCATGGAGCTACTCGTTGCCGAGATAGTTGTCGTGGAGCTACTCGTTGCGGAGCTTGTTGTCACGGAGCTGGCTGTCGTTGAGGTCGTCGAAGTGGAGGTTGTCGTCGTTGAACGAGTCGCTGTAGAGCTAGTTGTCGTAGAGCCAGTCGCTGAAGAGCTCGTTGTGATGGAGCTGGTCGTTGTGAAGCTGGAGCTCGTTGTAAATGTCGACGTGCTCGAGAGTGTTGATGACCAAGTCGCAGTGGTGCTAGATGTGGTCAACGTGCTGGAACTTGAGCTCGTGGCGGACGTTGAAGTTGTGATGGAGCTTGAAACGGTCCCGGTTGTGCTGCTAGAGCTGGTTGTGGTGCTAGAGCTGGTAGAAGACGTACTTGTGGATGACGATGTTTTTGACGTGGACGTACTCGTTGTAGCTGTACCGGTCGAGCTCGTCGATGTTGTGGCAGTGAGTGTTGTAGATGTCACAGGGTTGATGCCCAAGTCAATCGGGGGCAGGTAGTCGCCCATCGCGTTGGCTCCTGCTCCCCGAGAAGTGCTATCTCCTTGTCCCAACTGTCCATTACTTCCCGAGCTGCCCCAGCATTTCGTGCTACCATCATCAAGAACAGCACATGTAAAGCTGGCGCTGACGCTGACGCTCGTCACTGTACGGCCTGTGCCCACGTCCAGCGGGGAGGTTGTCCCCCATCTCCAGAGCTAAAACACCACGATTATCTGCGTCTCCTAGCCCCAGTTGGCCATTACCATTGGCACCCCAGCACTTCAGGGTGCCGTCGTCGAAAACAGCACACGAATGTTGTGTCTTTGTTGAAACTTGGACAGCGACCTTTCCAGTTCCCAGGTTGATGGGTGGAAAGGAATCTCCCATCGCCAGGCCAGTAGCGTCTTGTCCAAGTTTTCCCGCTGTATTGCTGCCAGTGTCCGCCCAACACTTCACACCACCATCATCCAGGACAGCACATCCGATGTTCTCACCCATGCTGATGTGAGTTGCATGCCTTCCTGTGCCGAAGTCGACAGTCGGGAGATTGTCACCCATTTCGCCGGGTGCAGTCCCGCGCAAGACGTTGTCTCCGTATGGCACCTCCTGATATTTCCCCCAGCACTTGGTCGAGTCATCTGTGAGGATGACACAGATGGAGCCATAACCCGAATAGAGTGTTTTTGCTACCTTGCCCGTCCCTAAGTCAACCTCTGGTAGATTCTCTCCAAGTTCATTAACATGTGTTCCCCGGTTCGTGGTATCTCCATACCCAAGCGTTTGTCCTCCATAACCCCAGCATTTCACGCTCCCACCATCAAGTAAGGCACACATGTGGTACCAGCCTCCAGCCACTTCCTGCACTGTTCGGCCCGCGCCGAGCATGGCAACAGGAGAAGTTCCGTCAAAGCCCACACCGCCGACGTCCGTATTTGTTCCGATTCCGCATTGGCCATATGCATTCCATCCCCAGCACTTCGCATTGCCATCATCCAGGACTACGCACATCGAATACTCCCAAGGGCCTGTCGTCAGGCTTGTAGCAGTTCGTCCAGTGCCCAAATCGATGGGGGGCAAGAAATCCCCCATCTCATCCGGCTGGTCGCCGCGGACAGTGGAATCCCCTTGGGCCAGTACCGTATGGGTCTGTCCACCCCAACACTTGACATTTCCATCATCTAGGAGGGCGCATGCGCTGATGCGCCCGGGTTGCACTTCAGTTGCCCCGTAGTTGCTCGAGGCTAGGACGCAGATGCAATTGAGTGCGGCGGCCAAAACAATCGCTGCCATTGCTGGCGCCCATGTAAAATAATTAGAACAGGGCTTTGGGGTTATGATACTATGACTATAACTATAGCAAGGAACTCCCAAAATAGTATAGGTAAGCATTTATAACTAGTTTAGTTCTGAAACTTGGCTCTCTAGCATGAAGTGCCTGGAGGGCTTGGGACAATTTCGAGAAGGACAATCGAGACAAACCGATACCGAATACTCCAGGTTAGCGGGGACGCCCCAGCTCTTGCCAGTTCTACGAGCTAGTAGGGTTTAGAAATGCCAGATTCAAGCGCTTGTGGGTTTCGGGCACTTTCTGCCGGATCCAGGTTGAAGCTTCACGTCTTGGGTTTCCGACGGTGCAGAAATTTCGGCTCCAAGAAGTTAATGGGACATCTCACGCAGATGCTTCGCAGCGAAGTGAGCAGCGACGACAAGCAAGGGAAGTTTGGGATAATGAGCCACAGCTTTGACATACAAGCGTTGCTCAGCGGTTGGCTTGGCGAAAGCCTTGTCGAAGGTCTTCCTGCACTTGCATGCACTGTGCAGCTTGCCAAGCCTCTCCGCAACAGTTACAGCTATTCACAGCCTGGCTGGCAGCTTGGCACTTGATTTTCTCCGCTTGGGTGCCGGTGCTCCACGCCGATCTCGCTACATCGCTACCCTACACCATGCATAGAAGCGCAAAACATCCTCAACGTGCCTGACAATCGAATTACCGCCCCTCTGCCCCCTAAGTTTACTGGAGCAGCATGCCAGGCTCGCTTGGAGCTTGGAGCATGGACACCTGCACATCTATCAGAATCTATCACCCCCAGCAACTCCAGGGAAGACGGAATGTCCCAATCACTCCTACGCATCCTGAATCGAGCCTCAGGCTGGTCATGGGAGGGGATAGGACTCGTTGTTACTGTTAGTCTGACGATGGTGCTGGCGGTGATGCTGATTATGATTGCGTTGCCGTTCTTCTTGCTTACAGTTGTTCACAGTATTGAGTCATGTTCAGCGTGCTGCTGCTCTCGACTTGCTCACGGTGGCATCCGCGAAAACACAGCAAGGCTAACTTGCATTATGCAGCCTGGCAACAGCTCCGGGGAGCCATCGAGGTGCTCTCGTCACTTCAGTGTTGGCCTCGCACCGGAATGCATGCTCTGGTGCAACTTCTTTTGAGCTGGCTCAAGCATTTACATCTTGAATGAAACATTCGAGGCATTTTTCTTGCATCCCTGCCGAGAAAGCACTGCCGGTTTCGGCTCTGGCCGAAAAGTCATGGATCCTCCCCCGCGTGGGCCATTCTCGAATCCAGCATCTTGGCCCGGGCTGACCCCTCTCGGGATTCACACCCCAGAACCGGAACGAAGGCTGCGGCCCCTCCAGGGCGACGGCATGCCATGCTTCGAAGCCAGTTGGCATGACGATGATTTCCAGGCATCCGACCGAGAATACTTATGTGAGTACATTGAATACGACGGCAAACAATGCCATCACACCTGTGCAAGGTCTGCTGAGCATAGCAAAACACACAATAGCGGGCCTGACGGGTAGGGAACAAAACTGCACCAAAACTGCACTCCAGCGTGCTCAGCACAGCTGAAGAAATTCAGAAAGATATGCCGCTGAGGCGAGCACGGGACTCCATCCCAGGGAACTCTGCCATGCTCGGCTTGGAAGACTTGGAAAAAAAGGAAACGGAGATAAGTCACAAGCTTGGCGGGCACAAGCAAGACCTCCAACGATTCCACAAGACTTTTGGTAGGAATTGATTCAATTTAGCTGTCCGTTTGCAGCAACGGTGTGCCAACTAAGCTGCAGGTGGAAGGCAAGAACCCTGGAGCTTGCTTTGTTCTTGGTCAGACCGTAGTCTGAAGTTACCCTGTACTGTCTAGCCGCTAGCCAACAAGCATTGAAGCCTTCTCCAGGCCAAAAACCGTCGAAAAGCAGAAACAAGGTTTATGGAAAGTCTGCATGGTGAAACGTACAGAGATCGACATCCGAAAGCGCAATACATCCAGAATACTATGCCCTGCTGGGGCAGGCGTGCAGGTCAACTGACCACCCCGCAGAAGTCGTGGATTTTGGCAGGACGGCGGGAAGCAAAGCGAACATGGGAAACTGAGGTGGACGCTGCCTTCACAGCACTGCAAGCATAGTTCCACATTCGACGTGGGCCGGACGATGCATTCGTCATTGTCAACGCGGATCCAGCCTGACAAGCTCTTCCTAGGCGACCCAGCAACGAAATGTACATTGTAGTGTGTGGTACCTGTATCGGACCGGAATTCCCCCAGGCCGAATTACATGGTCTGGTTGGGGCATACCCGATAATTAGCAATCTCGCCGTCGGGCTGCTATTACCAGTCGCTCGGATGCCTTAACGGCCACCAAAGTTCTTGAAAACGCCATGGATACTGCTTAAATGTTGCGCACGCCCACTATACCTAGACTCGACACTCAAGCGTATCTTGGCACACCGCAGGCACCTGCATACACATGCCGTATCATGCAGCTTCTTGATCTGGGGGGGGGGGGGGGGGGGGGGTGAAGGCATCCGCTGCTGCAAGACAGGCCTTGGCAAGAAGCGCCCTTGGCTTGGGATTCGAAGTCGGTGTTGGAGTAGCGATGTCGGTGTCCGCTTCCGTCGCCTCTGGGAGAAGCACAGAGCTCAAATCCTTGGATCTCGAAAACGTCGATGTCGAGGCTCGTAACTTACGGCATACATCTTTCTTCTTCTTCCCCAGGGCATAGGGGGCGTGTCAAACCCCCGGCCTGTTGACCCCCCATATGTTATGGGGCTTTCAGGGTGTGAGAATGTTGTTCGAGTATCGGGTTGTTGACTTAAATTGAATGAACAGAATATGTTCCCTGATTCTCAAACCAAATAGTATCCGTGGGTCACCTGAATTGATGCAACATCTTCGCAGGGTTCAAGAAGCCTACAATAACCAAGGATAAGTCCCCCGAAACGAAGATGTAGCATATGGGAGTCAGCATGCATTTGGGTTCGCACTCGCGGCAAGCTGAATCCCACGCCTAAGCATAGCATACATCTTTCTCCCTCTCTCTCTCTGCCGTGCCATCCTCAAGGGTCTCGCTATGCAAGGGCACAGCAGGCCAGACAATGAGGAGGCATGGCGCAAACGAAAAACCTCCGTCATTCGTCTGGACAACAACTGGCCTCAACAACTGCACTCTGAGCTTTGAGGCCCTCAACAACACAAGGACATGCAGCTTTACGCACAGACTGAAGAACTCCCTCAATCAATAAGGTACGAGTAACCTAGGGCAATGTGGGGTCTAGCTTAAGGCAGTCGAGGCACCCGATCGGCAAAATGGAGCCACTCATGCATCACGGCGTCTTCGGCGTTGCAACGGTCAGAGCTGGACTTCTGCAGCATCCATGTCATCAGCTGACAGCTTGCCTGTGACTTCCCGGATAGAAGTCCACCAGGCTCAGACGGGAGCTGGCGACTGACGGTGGCAAGCATCGTTTCGGCCCTTGACTCTTCCAAGAAGGGATGGCAGCCTGTGAGCAAAAGGAACATCACCACACCCGCAGAGAAGATGTCTGCCTTCCGTCCGCCGACTGCTCGCACGTGAACTTCAGGAGCAATGAAACCGTACGTGCCACATGTCCATGGAATCCAGTCTGACCCCTTGGGCAACTCTGCAGAAAGCTCTAGGTCACACAGGACGACTCGGGATCCGCCAGCGGCGATCATGATGTTTGTATCCTTAACATCCCGATGAACAACAGAGAGCGCATGCATGTGGGCCAAGCCTCGAAGCAGAGAAGACATGACAAAAGCCGCCTGCCCCTCAGAAACTGATCGGGTCTTGCACAGCTGCTGCAATGTGCGCTCGCATCTTTCCTCAAGGATGAAGTGCAGGGTTCTTACGGCTTCCATCTCAGAGACATCTGGCTCTGGCTCGGGAAAAACCTGTGAACTGGTTCTGGCCTTCCGGGCAGGGGCAGGCCGTTGCTTCATGCTCCTAAAATTTCCATGTTGGCATGCATCAACCACGCAAGTGAAGGTGCCAAACATCTTCACGATGCAGTCTCCAGCGACTGCTTTGAGCATCTTCGCCTCGTGCGCAGCAAGCTGTGGATCTGCATCGAAGAACTTGCCAGCAAAGCGGTCTCCACCTGATAAAGCCACGGAGCGCACCACACAAGAAGAACCCTTTCCGAGGACCTCCCCCACGCTTATCGAGATTTCATCCTCTCCATCGGCAGGCTTGGCTGTCGTCTTGATAACCCCGTCCGTAGCATTCATTGCTACTTTGGAGCGGAAACTATGGAAAATGGACTGGGGCAGTAAAACGAGCCGTTCATTGCATAGGAAGGACACACAGATCCAAGTGCTTCAACTTCAGTGTCAGCGAGGCGAACAAGACTCAGAGACATGACGGGTTCTGAGTCTACATATATTGAGGCCGGGACCCGTCAAAGTCACCTCGTCATTTGTTCGTCGAAAGATGCCGTGCGCAGTGGCAGGCATGGCATCCGAGGGTGCTGCTGCTGCGGAGCGTCTCTTGCTCCGCTGTAAACTTGCTTTACAGGTCTGAGTACGCATCCCGCGATGAGGGAGCCTAGAATTCACATCTTCCCCGGCGATGTCGAGCCAATTCGCGTCAATGCGCAACGTGCAATACAAAGGTACACCAATTTCAATAGTAACAAAAACCACCACCACCACCACCACCACCACGACCACCACCACCACCACCACCACACCACCACACCACCACACCACCACACCACCACACCACCACACCACCACACCACCACACCACCACACCACCACCACCACCACCACCACAACAGCAGCAGCAGCAGCAGCGGCAGCGGCAGCGGCAGCGGCAACAGCAACGGCAACAGCAACAAACAAACAGCAAGACTAAATAACAAGCCACAATAACAAGAACAAGCATAGCAATGATGAAACCAAATATAACTTATAATGATCATGCTACTGACAGTATACAACTACGAATTATAGCAATACAGATAGTATGTATAATCATCATGATCGGAACAATAATAAGAATAAGACACTAACAATAAGAATAACAGTAACAATAACCGTAGTACTGGCAATAATAGAAACACAAAAATTGACAACACTGCCAACACAATACTAAGAACAATAGCAATAATCATAATAACAACAATCATCAAAATGATTATCATTACTATTATGGTGATTATTACTATTATTATTGTTACTGTTCTTATTGTTTTCCCAAATACGTCACATTATTTACATGGTTGTCAGAAAATCATGTAAAAAAATGTGGTATATTTTGACAATTCAATAAGATAAACAGTACGAAGAACAATACTCATAATGGTAATAATACCAATAAGAATAAGACCATGGCCCATGGCCGGGTTTGTGCGGATGTGCCATCCCGGCTGTCCTCGGCAACAAAGCGCCGCGGGCCTCCACCTCCATGAACCACCGGGCAACCTTAGTCGAGCGAGCGAGCGAGATGTGCGCGTGTTCCCGGCAGCCTTGCGTCAGGGCTTTTCGACTCTCCCGCTCGCGCAAGGCAGGCAAGGCTCAACATCGTTTCGCCACGCGAGTGAGGCTCTCGGAAAGACAGACAGTCCACACCAGAACCGATCAAAGCCAGGACACCACCCCAAAGGCCCGTGCTATCGGCATCAGGGCTTTTAGGGGGTTCTTCGTTGCTGCAAGGGCTGCCTAACTCCCGGCTTCCTTCAAGACCCCCATTCTTGGCTCTTTCCAAGGGCCCGTGCATTGGCCAAGCCCTGGAGAGTGAGGCCAGCCAGCTGTCTGGTGGCTGCTGCCGTGGGAACGGCAAAGACAGGGTCATCCTGGCTAAGCAGAGGCCGCGGCGAGGGAGGCAGGGCTGCTGTTTCTTGCTCCTTGCAGCAGCCTGCTGTTGCTGCGTCATGGGACCCTGTGATTCTGATCTGGCTTGGCTTTGGCCCAGTGCCGGGGGACAAGTGCAGAATCTTAGGTACACTTCATCAGCTCTTGACACTCCTCATCCCGGCTCAGTAGGAATCCACATACCCCAATGCTTCTCTCAAACCGGACACTGCACACAGCCTGAAGACGAAGCCGTGCAGGGGTTCACGCCTCCGGGCGTGTTTAAGAGCAGCTTTCCCTTTCCAGCACCAGCCAAGAGCCCAGAGAGCCCAATACCGCCAATACCCCTTAATTAAGGAATATACCTTAAATCATAATATTAAGGCCCCCTATAATTTAAGGTATATTCCTTATAATTAAGGGGTATTGGGCTCTCTGGGAGGGTCAGAGAGGGTTTGCCAGAGGATTACTGGGCGCAGCGCCAGGTTGGAGAGGCCCTGCTCCTGCAGCCATGGATGTTAATTAGAGTTGTGAGCATTCTATGGCATAACTAGGGTATTTAATGTTAGAACTATGAGCACTATGGCACTATGGCGGAACTAGGGTATTTAATCTTCGAATTCTGAGCATTATGGCATAATTAGGGCGTTCATGGTAGTCTTAGCATTTGCACAGTTAGGAGGTATGCTATGACCTCACACACGGCTCATGTCCTGCCAGCCCAGCAGTGTTTCTCTTGCCTGCAGTCTCCAGGTCCCACCGTCAAATGCTACAAGTGGTGCTGAAGCTTCACGTTGCGTTGACGACAGGTTAGACTGGCGATGGCCTGAGCTGAGACAGCTTCGAGCAACGTCGTCTGCCTGTGACTTGGGCTGGCGAAATCTCGACCTGAAGGGTGTCTGGCAAATTAAACGCCATGAGCAGAGTCGGTCAGTACAGGTTCCCACAGGAGGAAGCACCCCAGGCATGCCAAACTGCTGCATGTCGTTCCAAAGTTACAAGCAACAGGCTCAACAAACGAGCAGTAGAGCATTATCAGAATACTCCTACCTCAGGCATGCACCACTGTTGGCAGTGTTCTGTTCGCTGGACTCGCACACTCCTGGGTCGCAGCTTCGCATGGCACCACTCAACACCCAATAGTTCAGCAGTTTGGCTGCGCACGAGACTTCGTGATCTCCACCACCGCATCCAGCCTTTGATGCGGATCAGCTGAATTGCCAAGGCCACCCCCCGTTTCTCAAACAGACCGCAAGTTCCAGAAGTTGAGGGTTCTGCGCAAGCTGCTCAAACAGCTCCGGAACAGCAGGTGACCAGACGCTGTTGCTAAGTCCTGGCAGATGTCGTACAATCGCGCTGGCTCCAGAAGGCCGACCGTACATAATCACTGGGGAAATCTTGCCTTGTGCGGAGGGCCCTGCAGCTTTCGCTTTGCTGCTTGCGGGTGTGGCCGCTAGCCTTGGAAAGGGAAGGACTGCCTGGCAAGTGTGTCTTGTGCAAGCCTGCTTTCCGAAGCTCCGAGAAGGATTGATGAACGGCAGAACCACTGCACCAGCTTGACTACAATCTGAACACCACTTGGAGCAATGAGAACTGAACTGACCCAGCAACAGAGGTCACTGGAATACCGGTCTGCACCTTGTGAATGTCTCATGAAAGTCGCTGTGAACGATTGGGAAATCATCCAGGCACACAGTCGCCGGCACTGCTTCGCCCGCCACGGCCAAATTCGCAGAAGCCTGCTAAAGATGCCAGTCTCGCTCAAAGGCCCGATTACCAAGAGCGATTACTGAAACTCTTGCCGATTTATTCCTACTACTACTGAACTACTGCTGCCGCGCGCGCGCTTGCTGCCGGTCTACCAGTTACAAGTTGTTCAAATGCTTGGTACAGTATATAAAGATACTTGATAAGGATTTTCCGAAGTCGTATCGTCAATCGACTGACATTATAACGGGAAATACGACCTTGGCGCAGCAAAAGGATGCTTACTTTCTACAGATGCGATAAAAACAGTCTTTGCATACTTGCACTATAAATGGGGTATCCGGTAAGGTACTGTACGGGGTTTCATGCGACGTATTTTCAAACGTCTCTTCCCACATCAACTCTGTGTGGTGTATAGCTCCGCCGGCGATTCCCGACTCGCGTCTTGCCGCACTGCAGTAAAGGTTTATGGATCCGAATTATATATGAAAGAAAATAGGGCGTCGTTAGTCGCTTCAACCCCCGTGGCCCGGGAAAGCAGCCCCCGGGCGGGGTCTGAAATCCTTAGCACCTGAATGTTTTCCTTAGGCCCTGAGACGTAATGTGGCCGGAAATGCGGAAGGAAAAAAGCCGGCTGTTTTCCATGGCCCACCGTGGTTTGTTACCCCGGGTCCCCTGTGGTCCCCCGTTGTTCCCGTTAAGGAGAGAGATGGAGAGAGAGGGAACTGTGTGTGCATACATACATACAAACATACATACATACATACATACGTATATAATTATATATTTTTTCGTGGGTATGTGCATATATGTGTTTGTTTGTGTGTGTGCGTGTGTATCCTTGATTATCTCGATTAGATTTCTCTGAAAGAGACAGAGGGCAGGGTCGGATGCTTTAAAGGGTAGAAAATTCGTGGCGGCCCCGGCACCGGGGTAACCGACTGTACTGGCTGTTTTCCCTGGCCCCCTCGCGAGCATACCAAATCTTCAGGGCTGTTTTCCTTGATTTGTGGCTGGATTTTGGGCCAAAAAGCCAGCCAAGACGGCCCCCTATAAAGAAAGACGATTTACTTTGTGCTTTACTGGCAGTCTCACTACGTCAATTAACAGTCCTGGTTGGAAGTCAGTCCAGGGAATCCTTCTGCATACCAGGTAGATCACATCTTTGACACTGCTGGGCAGCCGTTTCCTCGGGGATGTGGCGCTGCGCTGGGGCAGTTCATTATCAAGGCGCCAGAGAACAGACAGACCACTGACTGACCAAATGCTTGCAGGATGTGCAGCAAAGTTAGACGGCCTGCCACACGTTCGCCACGCTTTGAGCTGAAAGCCCATTCATTTTCAACCTTCGAGCGGCGCGGGCAAGGGTTGCTAGCGTTCTGGTCGTTCTTGTCTCTGAATGTCTAACTCACGATTCATTGATACAGCAGGCCCGCTGTAAGAGCAGGCGCCGCAGCGGCAGTAGCAGTCGTCGCAGTAGTAGAAACAGCAGTAGTAGCAGGAGGTACTACAGCGCAAAGCCCTAGTCCC